CTATAATAAATGTTTGTGCTGTCATAGTGTGGGGTGATGCTATAAAAGTCTTAATTAAGTGAAAGGGATAACGAAATATCAGTATGTATGAGTCATATATGCATATTGAAGATAAAACGAGTTTGAGAAGTTAATTTAAGTGTAATACAAATTGTTGTCTTGATTACAAACTTCGTAATCTTTAGAATACTATTTATTTAGATGGAAAAAAGAGAGTAAAGAAATGAACACCTAGTGAAGGGTTAAACCGTGATAATAATAGTAATTGTTTAATGAATAACGACCTCTGGAGTAAACCAAAAATTTAAAAAAAATCAAAAATCCCTTAGTACACTCGGATAAATGCTTTTAGAATTTTTCGGAAATTCACGTTACTTGTTGTCGGCATCTTTTATGTTTCTACTTAACAACCGTGTAACCCACGTCTGATATCGTTCGTAAATCTGTGCCACTTAAAGAGGGCAATGTTGACGATATTTCGAGCTTACTTCTAGCTAGTAGCGAGCAGCATGTGGTTGGATATCGGTTATATTTTATTTGATCCAAGTTTACTATTCGTAAGTTGACTAAAGATGTAACAAAGTAATTTACCTGGATACTTTTAGAGCAAAATGAGTGCTCATTGTGCATCACGAGAGGTTGTATGCCTTGTACAAACTGCGTTTTCAAGCGACTGGATGACGGTCAGCAGAAAGTCTGTTGAGCATCAGAGAATTACACGGGTTTTAGAGCTGCATAAATGACATAACCTCATTAGTTTTATTGGACATGCCATGGCTGAAAGATCTAGATCACTCATCCACACCAGACCATGGTTGAACACACGGTTCCACGAATCCATCTCAACAACATATCGGCTCGCATCACATAATTCTTAACATATCGAACACATTTCAAATGTACCGTCGAACTACTCCATTTTTAATTTCTGACTTGACTGGATCGGTATCTTTCGATTACTGAGGTGTTGCGGGCGAAAGCATTGTAAAACCCTGGATATCCGTAACATATTTATTCAGTACAAGGTATAGTTCACCTGAAAAATAACGAAACCTAAATACATGGTGTGCAAAATCGAGACCCTTAGTTCGTAATTCAGAGTACTAGGGTTTGCAATGCAAGTATATTTCTAGAAAACAAGAATTCCTAAACACATGCCCTGTCAGTCCATCATAAACCGCGAAATCTTACGGACTTAGGAAAAGATATCACTACCGGTTTCGAGATCAGTAAGAAAATATAATAGGTCCCAATGAATGCATTGAATATCGTGGACGGTCAGATTACTGGATAATATTTAGTACTATGTGCTTTTACAATGCGTTAGGGATGTAGTTTGTGACTATTGATCAAGTAATCAAGAGGTATCCGTCAACGGCGAGTTTTAATTTAACTATATGAACCATTTATATAATTGTATCGTGATACTATGATGGACTGAAAGAAATTATAATGAATCGTTTAATATGAATGACAATTGCAACAGTCATCCGCCTTAAGGACTAATCATGAAAAGTTGGACAATTAAATGAATCTGCAACCTTATCAAACGTTTATGATAATCAACTGCTGGGGATCCAAACTGTAGGTGATTCGACCCAAGTTAAGAAAGCCCAAAAGAACCAGGCATCACCGCCTAAGCCGAGCAACTCAAGTGTTGCTGTACGGAAATTAACTAGTGATTCGGTCGCACAGTCTACTCCCAAGACTGTTCGTCCGGTCAAAAAAGAGCCCAAGCCTCATAAAAGCACACTGACCTCCAAAAAGCAAGTCATTAAACATGAACCTGCCGTGAAACCTGGTAAATTAACAACAGTTCGTGACGACTCTCTCATTATCATGAACCTCATTGATAATCCTGACCTTCCTCTCAGTCTGCAGGACAAAAACGACAGGATGCTATGGGGTGAATTGAACAAGAAGCTAGAACTTCCTAGAATAGAGCCTTTGATGGTCACCCGGCTCTCTAGAGGAAAGGACTCTAAGCATCTAAATCACCCAAGGCTTCTCCGAGTAACACTTAAGAATACTACCGATGTAGAAGACGTCTTACTAGCAAGTCACTTGCTGAAATCAGATGGTAACGTAAGAATATTGCTCGATATACCGTTCTCTGAGCGCAATATCATACGAAACATCCCTAAAGAATCTCACGAGAAGTATTTCCGCGGAAGAAACATAATTGTGCAAGGTATACCGGAGAATGCAGACCCTACTCAATCAAATTCTGACATCAGGGAATGGAAATTCATCAAACAGTCCTTGAGGCTCAAACACATACTGACTCAGCATGTGACGAGATTAACCAAGAAGGACGGTGATTCTAGACCCCGTCAAATGAAGATAACCTTCCCATCTTCCCACGTGGTGGCTGCAGTTCTGGAAGCATTTCGTGTCAACAGACGTCGATTGCCACCTGGAATCCACATGCACCCGGACAGGCCATATGAAGCCAGGACCAAGCACAAAGGCAAGTTGGAGCTGACCATTCCACTTGTGGATTGTCTAAACGATAAAAAAACGTGTAAAGGACAGGGCCAATCACCTCGGTAAACCTCACATGGGTGGGCTACCTGTCCATTCACATAAAGCTCATACAGAAAAACAGGACGAAGCTCACGCGTTTCAAATTGAAAGCATAAACTGCTTATATATGAACGCCTCGAGTCTACCAAACAAACTGGATGAATTACGTGAACTTTGCAACGCTAATAAGGCCCACCTGATAGGAATATCTGAAACCTGGATATCTTCTCATAGCCTTCAGTTTTGTCACCAAAACTAAGCTAAGGTATCCCAACAATAATTTGCATTGGAATTTTAAACGGCTGAATGTGCCAGCTCTACACGACTATCTACAACAGGTGGTTTGGGATGTTCACCCCCAACTCGATGTGGACGGTCATTGGAACTTCTTACTGCACACGCTCTTATGTGCTACAAACCATTCAGTTCCTCAAACGGTTCCCAAAAGCTGTAAGCCACCTACAATAATCAAGAACCGTACCCTTTGCCTGCTAAGCCGTAAAAGGCACTGTTGGGCGGAATACAAACGAACTGACAACGACGGAGCGTATAGGCAATTCAAACATATCAGGAACATTTGCACGAAGGCTATAAGAGAAGACAGGCTTCATTATCAGACAAAGCTTATGAACAAATTTGCGTCGAACCCTAGAAGCCTATTCCGTCAAGTCAAAACAGGAGATTCTCAACTGCTAGGTATTAACGGCCCAACCAACAACGATGGTGACGCCGCTAACCTTCTGGCGGCACATTACTCTCAAACATTTCAGCCGGCTGACATCAACTCTATTGACGACAGTTTCACCTGTAATTCCACAGGGCTTTCCGAAGTGAACCTAAGCGCTGACTTGGTGTTCCGGAAACTGCAGCACTTAAGACTAGATACTTCTCCTGGCCCGGATATGGTTCATTCTGCCATACTGAAGGAGGCAGCCTCAATCCTGGCAACGCCGCTTAGCGTGATGTTTTCACACTCGCTAAGCCAAGGCAAACTACCGGAAAATTGGAAGTTGGCTCACATCACACCAATTTTCAAAGGGGGTCAACGCAATGAAACTTCAAGTTATCGGCCGGTGGCTCTTCTGTCATTACCTTCAAAACTCATGAAGTCCCTGATATGCGATGGTTTAAACGATTATCTACTGTCCTTAAATTTCTTCTCACCCCAACAGCATGGTTTCAGGAAGGGTTACTCTTGTATAACAAACCTGCTGACTGCGGTGGACAGATGGACGAGCATCCTCGATCGCAAGAGAAAGTTTGATATCATATACCTTGATTTCTCAAAAGCTTTTGATAAAGTTATCCACTTGTGTCTTATCAATAAGCTCAAACGACTAGGTATCAAACCACCTCTAATCGATTGGCTTACTTCATACCTAGAAAATCGACACTTTAAGGTTAGGGTTAATTTCACTTTATCTCAGGCTATGGAATGTCCTAGTGGGGTTCCCCAGGGCTCAGTATTAGGGCCTCTCCTCTTCTTGATCTACATAAACGATCTTCCTCAACAGTTAACAACAGACTTATTACTTTTTGCCGATGACGTGAAACTTTGGAGAGAGATACGCAACCAAGACGATACACAGGCACTTCAGGAGGATCTGACTCGACTTCAAAGTTGGCCAGATGATAACGGACTTACCTTTAACACTTCAAAGTGTAAAGTAGTCCATCTGCGACATGTCGCAGACTACAGTTATAACTTAAGATACTCCTCTCTAGTAGTATCCCAAGTCGAAAAGGATTTAGGAGTCCTGGTGCCCCATGATTTAAAGTCTTACGCTAATTGCGACAAAAATGCCTTCCGAGCAAACCTTGCACTGGTAACATTGAAGCGCATTTTTGACCAGTTTGACGGAAGAACTTTCCATACAATCTTCAATAGTTTTATCCGTCCCCATTTAGAGTACGGAAATATAGTACTCCCCCCTCACTCCAAAAGGACAAGGTCACTTTGGAGCGTATCCAACGGCGAGCCACGAAATCAGTACGCGGACTCAAATCTAAGCCTTACGAAGAACGCCTCCATTCACTAGACCTTTACCCATTAGAGTATAGGCGTCTTAGAGGTGATTTATTAATGGTTTATAGTATTCTTAACACTTCTGGACATCCTCTTAAACACCTACTCAAGCTTAGTTCGAATACTAACCTAAGGGGTAACACCCAGAAACTGGAAACTCAACATAGCAAGACGGGATGTGGACACAACTTCTACTCCTTAAGAGTTGTCAAAAGCTGGAATTCGCTGCCGGCCGAGCTAGTCCAAGCGACTTCTCAGGAGTCCTTCAAGAGGCAACTTGACCTATTCTTAAGGACCAAGGACAGTATCATACTATGATTTACCAATTTCTTTTCCTCTTTTATTGTTAACATACCTAGGTTCCTGCCTGGAGGATTTGGCGATCCCCTGCTACTAGACACGGAAGCCTGTTAAGCGAAAGCTTCTTCTATTCCGTCCACAACCATTTGAATCATTTGAGATCTGGCGCGGATTTCAAATGACAACTGTTCGTAATATATTTTGCGTTTTAGCGATTGCAAGATGGTTCACACACGTAATCATCGTACATTAAACTCTGTGAGCTGTTGTCTTATGTTAAAAATTTCAATTTTTTAGCATCTTGGTACTGTAGATAAGTATAAACAGGAAGGGTGTACCCACTTGTTTTTTGATTGTTTATCGTTGGTTATGGTCAGTAATTTCTCTCAGCTCATATTTTATTGTATTAGTAGAAATCTCCGAGCACGAATGAGATACAACCAATTAGGAACAAGTACACACCTATAAGTTAGTGATGTCAGACTCATTCAAGAAAGTTTCTGCTCAGAAACTACATAACCCAGGCTCCCAACTTTGGGGAAAATTGAGTCCATTTTGGGGAAGCCGCTATAATAAAATTTGGGGAAATGAGAAAAAAACCTAAAATTTCCCCAGACCTGGGGAAATCCCCAGAATTTCCCCAAAGTTTGGGGAAATTTTGTGTTATTTTTGGGGAACTACTTAAGTAGTTCATGTCGTATTTTGTATATAACATATAGGTTCATATGTCACAAATTTCATGTTAGCCCATAAAGACTTATTCTACTGTGAAAATGTTCTGTCAGCATTTTTGTGCCTGAGTTACAGTAACCGCGTTACTTGTTCAGTGGAATTGTCTTGTATCTCAATTTCTCAAATCGTATCCTCGACATCAATCTTTTCTGATACCACTGATAGTCTTACTATCTTCGCTACTCCGGTACTTTCTTTAATGACTTCATCTCCGTGCTTATGAGTTATGGCAACTTGAACTGATGTACATGTATCAGGTCCTACCTTGCGACGGACGTTTATCTCATGCTTTCCCACTTTTTAAGCCGTAAGGTGTACAGGCGCAAACAGATTAGGATGATGACTGGTGATTCATTGTTCAGTGTAGTAATGAACACGTTTGACTTAGCTGGTCGATAGCAGTGAGTTCCCTAAACTGTCAATGTAAATATTGGAATTGTATTGTCCGTATCCCACTTAACAGCGTGTAATTTGCACAACAAAGTTATCTTGTCACGTTCAAATATGTCTTCAAACCCTTGCAAGTGCTCTTAACAGGTTTTCAGAGAATTGTATTCCCATTTGTAACATGGTCTGTGTCATAAGTTTCATGTGTAATGATTTTATCGCTGTAGATCTGAAATATATTGTTTTGATACCGTATATAATGCATTTAATACCAACAATTTACGTTGAAAGTGCAATTCAAGTAGTGAAATAGAGGAATAATGTTTCTTTATAACAGTAAAAATTATTACCAGTAAAGTCTGTTATAAACATTAACTTTTTTCATGTTGGACGATGCATTATGGTAAAGCTGTTGCGTAATCCGCTTAAAGGGTTGTGGTCCCAAGCTGGTTTGGCGGTATATATCGTTACGATAGATTAGTTTTAACCTATTAGTGGGATTCTCCTAGTATCTTGAGAGCAGGCGATAGCATTTGGTTCACTGTCTTTATGTATTTTCAAGTCGTCAGTATACATTGGTGTTTTAAAGATAAACAAACCTCGGGAATTACTGACAGTAATTGCGACTAATATATGGTTATGCATCAAATTGTGGGGAGATTTCATCCAACACTGTAAGTCATTAAGAGTTAACAGCCGTAACATTAACGTTTGCTTGTGATAAGTTCATAATTGCACCAACATGTGCTCTTTATACTATCCATTAGTTCTTGACATCAGTATGCATGAATAAACAAGAAAAGCTACATTGGTGTTAACCGAGTGACAGTGAGGTACGTCTGTATCATCAGATTCACCTTTGAATCCATTCCTTTGAAGATGATTTTGATTCAGCATACAATACACGTTTCCTATCCACTTTCAGCTTGTTTACACTTGATAACTTAATGCTGTTGTAGTTCTAAAGTGCATAAGAAACATAACTGTCATAACTCAAGTCTGTTATATGTTCACTATGATTATTTTTCTCAAATAACAAAGGTTGTGTACCGGTAGTTAATATCATTGTGTACTCCGAGATTATCAATAAACGACTCAGTAGTTGAGTACAGGTTTGTATATTACGATGCGAAACTCCTACGACCACTTGTGCCATCAGTGCTACTGATTCTACCAATTTTGATAATCTTATCTCCCCGTGCTTAAACAATTTTAGGACTTGAACTCATTCACATTAGTATCAGGTCTATACTTTGCTCATAACTGACCGATTGACCTATCTGAACCACACTTACGAAGTCTGTCAATGTTATTTGGCCAGTCATACTTCAGTCAACAAACGAGGTCTCAATTTATGAGTGATTGGATGAAGACCATCTAGAGTACCAATGTAACATACATTCTTAAGTTGTAAATGGTCGACTATAATGAATGACTGAAGTATAAAAAAACAAGTGGATTTTCTGTGGGTAATATACAAAGAATCTTGTATGGATTCTTGTATATGATATGTGCTAGCAATTACAGAAGCTCTTTCTGTACGCTTTGAATTGATATAAATCATCTTAATTCCAGTCACATCTTTCCTTCACCACTTTATACCTAGATGTATTTACTTTTTCAATATTAGCCTTCATCCATTACCGTACACCAAATTAGGCTTGAAAGAAATTTTTAAAAAATTGCCAATTTCACACAAGTTCGTGTTTGGAAAATTTCTAATTTGATAGGTTACATCCGAAATCCTGGTTAGTAATAATGATGATCTGTTATCAACGACTTCGGATTATCCCGTCTCATCGAATCGTTCCCGAAAACCATTTACAAAGAAAGAAAGCCTTGCTATACTGAATTATATTCAAGATAATAACTTACTATCGTAAGTTTCCCTTATTTGAAAGTCATAATAGGCAGCAGTGAGTTCTGTAATCCTTGAAATGTTACTATTATTGAATTGCTTAGTTCTCTTGATGTTAGATGTGTCTCAAATGAGCACGGATGTGATTCTCTCCTTAACTGTTTATTTGTGGATATTTATTTCGTAATCTAGTCGAGCTATGTCTACTTGAATACATTTTTGCAAAATTAATATGATGCCAGGATATTTGACTGAAATTTTGCAAAACCAAAACACTTAATACCAATGCGATAGACTGTACAGTAATAGTGGTACATACTATTAGGATTCTGCGTAAAAAATTAGTTACGTTTAGATTACTCTGATCGACCTCGAGCTACTCATGTTACAAAATATTGTTTGTTATCAGCACAACTGTAGAATATACGCCCTGGTACGGCCGAGAGTGGGGAGAGTCCGCTCTCCCTCTCGAAATACTCTCACATGGCCGCGCGTATACAGCCTCTGCCAGGGAAGTCCTACTCATTGCCTTCTCGTGGCGGGGGTGTTGTTTACGAAAATGAGAGGACGAAAAGCGAACGTCCGGCGCTTTAACCGGATCACAAACCAATGGTGCACATGGGCTCCAGTATCCTGCGGGAACAAATGGCGTATGAACCAATCGTTGGTCACCGGCTACCATGGGATTGCATCTCCTTACGATGCTCCACTGCCTTGTGGGTTAGACCATTAGGTCAAAGGCTCGGGGTGTGGCCCCCTAAGATAACCACCTGCTTCGGTTTGGGCACCCGGGCAGTATCACAGCCCACACACAAACCATGAACTCTATGACTATGGCAACTAATTTTCTCGCTCCGATCAACATTCAATCGATTCAAATAATTATTACTATTATTGTCATTATTAATACCATTATTATTACCATTATTGTCATTATTATTATTATTATTATTATTATTATTATTATTATTATTTTCCACATTGTTCACCCTCTTTTATACTTATACAGCGGCTCGTCTTTGGTGGAAATTCGACTGTATCTAAACGTTCTCGAGTCACTGTCCGGTTGAAAATTGTATGTTACCACCGATTACGAGAACTGAAGCAGTTTTTCTGAAACCACGTGCACCATTCAAACTGGCTGCCTTCAACGTTCGCACACTAATGCAGGTCGGACAACAGATAGGGCTGGCTATGTCTTTGGAAAGTCTTAATATTGATGTTTGTTGTCTATCCGAGACCCGTATTCAAGACTCTGGCGAAGTACTACAAATTCGATCTCCATCTGTCGCTTCGAAAAGCTTGTTTTACGTGCGCTTATCCGGGGACCCTGTGGCATCTTCGTTTGGTCTTGCTGGCGTTGGTGTCGCACTAAGCGCTAGAGCTGAGGCAGCACTAGTTGATTGGATCCCCATTAACAGTCGGCTATGTGCTGTTAGATTAGAAAGTTCCATCAAAGTGAGAAGAAATCGGCGTGAGAAACGATGTCTTTTCGTCATCTCTGCCTATGCCCCGACAGATTGTAGCCCGGATGCAATCAAGGATGAGTTTTACCACCAGTTATCTGTTCTTCTCCAGAAAGTGCGTTCGACAGATATTGTAGTACTAGCCGGAGACTTGAATGCTCAGGTCGGGTGTCTAGGCACAGAAGAGAGTCGTTTAGGTGGCCGATGGGGACTCGTTGGTCGCAGGTCAGATAACGGGGACCGTCTACTGCAACTTTGCACAGACCACAACCTGTTTCTGGCTAGCAGTAACTTTTGGCACAGTCATCGCCGATGTGCCACCTGGCGTCCTCCCTCTGCATCCCAAGCCTGGACTCAGATTGATCACATCGCGATCAGCTTCCGCTGGCGTGGTTGTGTAAAAGACTGCCGCTCCTTTTGGAGTACCTATCTGGACTCTGACCATGCCTTGGTCTGCGCCAATCTTGCCTTACTTTTCAGTGGACAACGAAGTGACCACCACCAACGGATTGATGTCAGCAAGTTGGTTGCAACTTCTGTTGCAAGTAAGTATCGAACCGAGCTAGCCTCTAGGCTAGCTACCACCCCACCGAAAAGTATAGATGAGCATTGGTTGCAATTGCTTGACGCCATGAAAATGGCGGGAACAGTCAGTTGTGGGTTTGCGAAACGTCCCGCTTTTAAGCACTGGGTTTCTTCTGGTTCCTTACAACTTATTGAAGCCCGTCGGTCTACTCCGGGTGACCGTGAGTTTGACCATAAACGAAGGATGTTACGTAAGGAAATTGGGCAAAGCTTGCGTAAGGACCGAGAAGCCTGGTGGTCGGAGTGTGCTAATGAGCTGGAAGCAGCAGCTGCATCTGGTAACTACTGGAAGCTCTTCCAGCTCATCCGAGCCACTGGCAGCAAGAAGTCTGGTGTGAGTGAAACAATCTGCGAGGATGATGGGATGCCAATCACTAACATCCATCGACGTCTTGGACGATGGGCAGAATTTTTCGAAGGGCAGTTCAACTGGCCTGCTGCTCCGGCAACATCCGTCGGACTGTCCTGCCCTCCATGGCTAGTGACGACTGATCCACCAAATGAAGCTGAAGTCCGCAAGGAACTCCAACTCTTGAAGCGCTGCGAATCTCAGGTCCATATGACTTACCTCCGGCTCTTTTTAAAGATGGTGGTGACTTTTTGACTAAGGAATTGACGACGTTGTTTACAAAGGTTTGGGAATTAGAGAGTGTACCAATGTCATGGAATGAGTCGATAGTTGTCCCTATCTTTAGAAAGGGTTCACGTCATTATTGCAACAACTATCGGGGGATAAGTCTACTTCCGATTGCGTCCAAGCTATTGGCTTCCGTCATACTTCGTAGGTTGTTCAAAACCCGAGAAAGATTGACTCGCGAGGAGCAGGCTGGGTTTCGTTCTGGTCGAGGATGTATTGATCATATCTTCACCCTCCGCCAAATGTTAGAACATCGCCATACTTATCAAAGGCCAACAATCGTAGTGTTTCTTGACATCAGGGCTGCCTTCGATTCGTTGGACAGGACTGTTCTCTGGGATTGTCTATTGAAGAAGGGTGTGCCTGAGAAGTTTATTAACATCCTAAAAGCCCTATATACAAACACCTCAGGCAGAGTGAGGGCATACAACCACCTCTCTCCATTGTTCCATTCGAGTAGTGGGGTTAGGCAGGGTTGCCCAATCTCACCATTCCTCTTCAACGTTGCCATCGATGACATTCTGGAAACAGCTCTGATGGATGTAAGTAATGGTGGTGTGGATCTGTTGCCTGGAGAAAGACTTCTCGACCTTGAGTATGCGGACGATATTGTCTTACTGTGCGATAATGCCCAAGGCATGCAGTCTGCACTTAATCAGTTGGCAATCAGTGTCCGTAGGTATGGTATGTGCTTTGCACCTTCGAATTGCAAAGTACTTCCACAAGACTGGCAGGATTCCAATCCTGTACTCACCCTGGATGGTGAGCAGATAGACGTAGTCGAGAAGTTCGTGTATCTGGGTAGCTGCATAAGTGCTGCTGGGGGTGTGAGTGATGAGATCAATGCACGTATAGTGAAAGCCAGAGTGGCTTATGCCAATCTGGGCCATCTTTGGCGCCTTCGTGATGTTAGTCTGGCTGTAAAAGGTCGGATCTACAACGCGTCGGTGAGAGCAGTTTTGCTCTATGCTTGTGAAACCTGGCCTCTCCGAGTTGAGGACGTTAGACGACTCTCTGTGTTCGATCATCGCTGTCTCCGAAGGATTGCTGATATTCAGTGGCAACACCATGTCAGTAATGCAGAGGTTCGGCATCGTGTGTTCGGGCACAGAGATGGTAAGGCAATTGGTGTCACCATCTTGAAACACCGACTTCGGTGGCTTGGACATGTTCTACGAATGTCGTCCCAGAGAATTCCACGTCGTGCATTATTTGCCGACTCTGGGACTGGTTGGAAAAAGCGGAGAGGTGGTCAGTGCATGACATGGTGTGGTGGTATGAAAGGAAGCTGCAAAGGGTTGGCTTGTGTTGGTCCTTCACGACTCCCTGGTTGGGGTCTGAGAGATGGTGCTACACAGTGGCTAGAGACGTTATCAGATATGGCTCAGAATAGAAGCCAGTGGCGATCCTGCTGTAACCTTCTTTTACTTTCTTCATAAAAAGTGGTTGTGTCTCCCTTACTTGAAAGATTTCTTCTGATTGTACCTTTCTGTTCCATCGTTACGACCACACTACCTTTTGTGGTCCTTAGTTTTTTTTTCTATCTCTCTTCGAATTTTCATTGTTTTGTGTGACGTATATATATTGGCGCTCTCTTGTACCAATATTTATGTGTTCAAATAAATAATAAATAAAGAATATACAAAATGTAATGAAGATCTCCGACCGCTTAAAAATGCTCTAAAATCATTTGTTGATTGTTTTTGATAGATACGGGGTACATGTTATGATCAAGTATTGTTCAGGCTGCATAAAAGAGACTCCAACAATTTCCAGATTTGCACTTAGTGAATTGTCTGGTTTTCGCATGGGATGGCTTCTCATGATTTTTCTGTCTTCAAATTATTGTCCTGAAAATTCATTTTCATGTTCTTTGAATTGGACACAAGTTGACAATCATTTAGGATGAATCCCATATAATTTTTACGTGTTAATACTTCCCATGCTTGCTTAGTGTTGTATTGCTTAGTTGACTAAACATAATTTTTGACTACACTTGTTTTACTAATTCCTTGTTTATCAAGGGTGAAATCAAAGAACGATTCAGGACATACTGGTATCGATGAACGGCCAAATAAGCTTTCAGTGGAATTGTTTGTTTTCCGAAAGTCAAAATGTTGTTGTAAAACCTTTCAGTTCTTTCTTTGGTAAATTACTATTAACTCAAACTTTTGTTTATGTGTCTTAAACCTTACAATTCATTTATTATGCATGCTTTATCTTAACGTTTGTTTGTCTTTCAGATTGTTAAACAAACGTTCAACTTACAGTCATTTAGAAGCTGTTAAGATTTCAAATCACCGTGCAGAAAGCATACGCAGTCATGTTCGACACGTTTTGCTTCCTATGCTTAAAAATCTTCCAGTTCAGGCAAATAGAAGCATTGATAGTAAAATTACTACCAAAAATGATGAGTGTAAAAATCTTGATAACAATAATCAAACTTCGAGGAATGGTTTTTATCGTATCGGACGACAGCGATATACTTTGATGGAAGATGAAGCGATAATGAAGTATTTGTTGGAGAATAACCTATGGAGGTATGGGACATATATTGCTTGACTTCTATTGTTTTGTACAACCGTGAACTGTGGATTCAATCTTTTGGAGTTCGTTTATTTTCTTGGTTAAAATGTTACTTTCTGTTAATTCGCTTAGTTTCGTTTAGTGGCATGAGGTAAATTATGATTAAGGACTGAATAACTAAATATTCATTTTGAGATCCAACTGTTTTTGAGTGTATCGAAAGTCGCCACGATTTGCTTGAGGCAGGAATAAGTTTTCAGTTTATATAGCTCGATGGTGTCTCTACAGGAAGGTCTGACCACTGTGTCAAGGTGGTATCTGCTGTCAGATATTCCTTGTTAGTAATATTCTGTCCAATGATTCATAGTTTTAATCGTTGTCTTAGGTAATTACGTGATGTAACATAAAAAAATATAGACTCCTAACCATTGGTTCGCTCAAAATGTAGTCATTGTTACATATATGATAAATACTAATTACTTTTACGTGTAAATTAATCGTGCATTATTCTTTATGAACATATGTGTAGTTGTTTCGAAGTTCCTTATAAGTTAAATGTGTTTTCTGTTTAAGGGACCTAAAAACGCGTACAGTAGGGCACTGAAAAATGCGTCACGCAAATGAGTCGATTATATTTTGAAGAAATAAAAGGAAGGATGGGACATTTGATAAGTAATGGCACAAACATAGTATTTCGTAAGAGATGGGGTTCAGTTAAAAGAATACGATGAAGAAAGACTTCGTTCTCCTAAGCGAGTTATGCTAACTTCTCTTAGCCATGTATGTAAACGTCTAGAGCATCACAACCGAATTCGGTAACATTGAGAGTTCCAGCCTATTCCAAGTGAGGTGCCATAGAGGAATCTGCCGGAAGTAAAGGGAATCCCTAAACGTTGTAGAAAGATTTCTTGCTGACGCTTAGTACTTCAAAAGTGAACTACTTTCACGTGATATTAAGGAGCGTCTTCGTTGAAAAATTTCGTCAAATATATGTAATGTTTTATCTCATAGTTGTTATTTCCACACTCAATATTTCAATATAGGCAGGTGAGAAGTCGCGCTTTATGGAAAGAGATGGCAAAGGAAGGTGTAACTAGCCATTCATCAGAATCAATGCGGGCGCGCTTTCGTCACCATTTAGTGAATTCAGTGTATGCCCGTTTACTGAAATCACTTAAAAAAAACGAGCAGGTCGAACTTCATAATATCTTCTTTGGAGGATCAAAGAAATATACCGATCCAATGGAAGAAAATAAATACAATGATGCACTCAGTGATGATGGTGTTTGTCACTCATCTTATTCGATTGATGAATGTAGTCTGGACTTGAATAAGTCTAACACAATTACAACATGTGTGCTTTTCAGTCAATCACATAAGAATCACTTAGACAAATCAACCAATAAAGAAACTTCCCCGACAACTGTTCAATGCGATAAATTCGGGGATGTATTACCAGATCCTACGAAAAGTAAGAACTTTTTTTTACAGCACTCAATATCTTCAATAACAGTTATAATCTGTTTCTAAAACGTAAATTAACACAATTCGTACACATGTATCGTACAGTCGATTGCAAAGAGAGTAATAAACACGCCTATCGAATATTAACAGGGACACAAAATGAATCAATGAAAGTGTTACTTATGTGTATATGAAGGGCTGATGCAATTTCATGATCGATGGTTAAATAAAAGGGATAATATCAATAATCACTCTAAGACTAAATGAGTCGTAAGTTGCAGGGATTCAACCCAAATATTATTGGTTGATTCATACTTATCGATCATGGTTAACAGCCTTTGGTTTGCAGCTTGTGAACATCATGGCTTATTTACTCAGCTAATAATATATTGTTCAGTAGATATTCTAATGAAGTTTTTGTCTCGCTGTTGAGGCTTAGAATGTTCACACAAAGTACTGCCATTCTTTTTTACACCTGTAATGAATAAATACACAAATTTCTTATAAGTAATAGTAGAAACTGGTATAAAAAAGTATTCCGTTCTAAGGTCACCTAGTTTTCACCGAAGGTTTCTACTCAAAAAGATGTATCATGAAATCAAGCGAATTCGTGCGTATTTTTTGTTCTTCTTTGATTTCTCACAGGTTTTAGTCCTTCTCTTCGCGATCAAATATCTGTTTGTTCGTATGAAAGTCCTAAAAGATTTTGCACTAACTACCCTCGACCACCAACAATCGTAGCAACAAACACGAAGAAAGCATCGGAATCAAGTGACTTACCAAATGCTTCAACCAGTCTATCGTCACTTAACGAGTCTCTGTTGGAGCTGATACAAGGTACTCCATCCAAAGATTCCAGTTCACCGTCGGTAAGTCTTAGTCTATTTTGAATTACTCTGTATGAACAGTTCCCTTTGAGATATTGTTTACAACGATTGAATAGTTATCTCTGTTTTCTGCAAAAGTTGATTTGTCACTTACTGCAAAAATCCAAATGTACGTTTTTGGTATTTGTTGCCTGATTCCATAATGATAATGCTGTTAATGTGATATATAGCACATTTAATCATGTATATTCTGTCAACTTAACACCTTTAAAACAACGGTATATCAAAAATTGTATGTTGGATGCGCATATTGTATATACTAATTTTGAACGACAGGGAGGCAAACAAAAGATTCAGCTATTGTATGAAGCTTTGGGATTCGGCAATACACACTTTCGTAGCCCAGTATCTTACTCTGATTTGATTGTACGAAGATGCTGGGCTACAAAGGTGGTGAACCCGACTTGATAGCTATATATCCACAAAAAATGAACGATAATGATTAGGTTATTAGTGTGATAAATAATTCAGAACATAACAAAGATGGTCGGTTTTTAGCAAAAGGCGTATTAGAATTAAAGGCATCCACATACATAGTAAGAGATGATATCGAATTGGAAGATGTGTGTGGTATGTTAAAATAAAAATAATAGCTACGTAAATAAGTGTAATAATGAGGCAAAAATGACTCGAAAAAAGGAACGAACTCACTTAAAGCAGAAAAATTTTACGCATGTGTGTAGTAAAAAATATTCTAGTGAGTCTCGAATATCATAATATGAATGGTATGTCTATAAAATTCTAGCTTGCTGGGTGAGTGATATAGCTGCGTTAATGTCATGATTTAATATCGATACGAACAGCAACAATAATTCCATGTAAGTGATAATGAGAATACGAGAATTCTACATTGTACCAAAATATAATATTGAATAAAGCCATCAGTAATAATAATAATAATAATAATAATAATAACAATAATAATAATAATAATAATAATAATAATAATAAAGATGATAATGATAATAATAATAATAATGATAATAATAATAATAATAACAATAATAATAATGATAATAATAATAATGATAATAATAATAATAACAATAATAATGATAATAATAATAATAGTAATAATAATAATAGTAATAATAATAATAGTAATAATAATAGTAATAATAATAATAATAGTAATAATAATAGTAATAGTAATAATAATAATAGTAATAATAATAATAGTAATAATAATAATAATAGTAATAATAATAATAGTAATAATAATAATAATGATAATAATAATAATGATAATAATAATAATTAATAATAATAATAATAATAATAGAATGATCCGTCAAATATATCAATGAGAAGCGTTGATACCAGCACAAAGTACCGATAAGATAATGCAGTTTAAGCTAGCTTCGCTGAATGCTATGTATTAGAGATTGAATCTTTTGAGTTGCTTGTCGATTAAGTTAGCTACTTAGTCCATCCATCGGATGCGGTTATCGTTTTACGGACTGATTATTCTTATCCTCCAAACAGAAACTCCATCCCACGTAAACGCAAACCCATTAATAATTTACCGACGCTATTTACTCTACTGAAGCTTATTAGAACATGTTGATATTTCGCTATTATCTGTTCTTACATCCCATCGGCACCACAGATCAATATTCGTTACATTCTACATCACTTATTTTCAAGATTTGTCTTTCTGTCAAGCCCATAAACGATAAACGATTTACTACTCTGTTTTCACGGTATTTTGAATAGCTTATATGATGGTGTTATTTTATCGTCCAGATAGTCACAACACAAATGCTTGTTATTTTTTGTACGCTTACTAATTTGCTCATAACCGCACACTAACACTTTAATTTCTTTTCGTGACTATATGATATTCATGTATTGCTTTTTAAATAAGTATGACACGTATTTTACACTCACTCTTCACGTGACACTGTACTCTATCAGAAATATTACAAACTATTTTCGTTATATATCGTTAACGTTATCCACACACCTCAGTGTTGCTTTCGAAAACAGACATTTTTTTCAAATTAATGTGTTATTGTCAACAGAGGGGCTATATAATATCTGTACTCCTATTCAGCGAATAATGTAACTCAGTTTTAAGAGTCAGTTAACAAATATAAGAAGTTGATGGACACATACATACTTGCATCAAATGTGACCCAAGTTACATCCGAGTAATTAGTATAGTCAAACATATGATTGACAGAATAAACGGACAGATTAGAATAATTAGTCTGTTGAGGTGTTTGAATAAATCCTCTAAGTGTGTAACAATATTAATTGCTGCACATTTACATTGACCAGTTTGCCACGCCATTTCCCAGACATTAGTAAGACAGCAATTTAAAGTAATAGCGTTGGAACGTAAGTCAATCGCATAAAATGTGCTTCTCAGGAGTGTTATACATTTCAATTTCCAGTTTTTTAAACGATAATTAAATCACTATGTTACAAATACAATAAAACGTTAAGTTATTGTATTTATCAGTGGTTATATTGTACATTTGAATGTCTTTGTTCTCAACGAATAACTGTATAATTCCGTTTTGCTTTTAGAATTTATCATTGATGACATCGGATTCATCACCTTCATTTGACCCAATGAAATATCCTGTATGGGTGTCAAAGTTGATAAACTGCACTAGTTATATAACAACGCCTTTACAGGCTATGTTGCTTGTCTATATGACAAATGGTTCCGTTGCAGAAGCGTACAACTTTTTGACTACCGGAAAACGTCGTCCATCATCAATAACAAATTTTAGTCCGCCTCTTTGGTTACCTGATGATGATGAATGTTTAGGTTCAACTGATCAAAACAAGCTTGATGAACTTGTCAGTCGTTTCGGTTGGATAGAAATAGTTAAACGTGTTGGCTTTTTACAAAATAAAAACAATATTGATACTTCTGATATCATTAAAAAATAGTATTTCAAAGATTTCCTACATAGTTAACGTCTCCTCCATTTCATAAAGCATTGTTGTTAGTATTTTATAATACTGTTCGCTCTATATTACCGCGTGTTTAAACATTTTTTTTCTGTTTATTTTTTGTATACATTTTATCTAAGAATTTTGATTATTGATTTTGTTTTAACTTGTTCAGTTTATTTAGCATTGGTTAAAATCTTTGTAAAAAAATATCTTTTCATTTATATGTGTGGTTGTGTTTGTTTACTATCAAGAAGTGTGTGTTTTATCCAGTTGATCAATCTTCAAACGAGTAATTCAGTGGAATGTTAATAATGACTTATAAATCACTTCATTTCTGATGTCATTTAGTTGACTCAATGATCTGAACATTCACGTCCTAACCATTTGGTGGAATTTTTAAATCCTATCTTATCCATTGTCGGTTTGAGGAATCTGGTTATTACCTTTACATCTTTTTAATAGATGTAACATTAGAAGATTATATATTTCACTACTGAATTGCACGAAATTTCCACTGATAATGATTAGGTTTAGTTATTATCCAATAAATTGTTTTTATCAAGGTTACCGTTTATGTAATTTTACGTCTTCAAGTAATAAATGGATGGGTGTAGTTAGAGGATTATCGCTTCATCTGAGGATAGCAATCAAACCATATGTAGTATTCATTCGGTTAAATCATATAGACATGCCATGTTGATGTTATGCCCTTGTTGCATAGTAAGCATGAGTTATGTTCCTATAACTGAAGCATCAAACAGTGCAGGTGCATTGGATCACTGTAATATATGTACTACCTAAACTATTACTGAACTAGTATACTTAAAACTACCTTCTATCACATGTTTGTTCTCCACATCTAATGTTATTTATTTCAAATTGATCATGCCGGTAAACTGGCGTGAATTATGTAATTACTATTTTCAGAATATATATTATTATTAAAACTTTACTTCATCATAGTATTGTTAGATGATAAGACTCCTTTGGAGGATTAACTACTGTAAGGTCAGCTTATCACATTGTAAAACAGTCTAATCGCACACTACTTACAAGTGGTTTATCGTATAGTGGAATCTCATGAAAATGTAATGCCTTATATTAGGGAACGAACAAGTTACTAAGGTATATCTCAATGTTTCATATTTAAGTATTATTGCATCCTTTGTTATGGATTAAGAACAATAAATTCACCATAACTTGGTTCATTACCATGGTGTATAGTGCCGATATATATATCGAGGAAGCAAATCATTTTACAAACAGGAATTACAGTTGGATTTGTAAGAAACTACTAGTCTCAATATGATTCGTCCCAGTAACTTATGACTTTCACGCCAGATACTGCATTTATTGAGCTATTTCTATCTCTTAGTCTGATCTCTTGATAATCACAGTGATAATTTTCTTTTCGATAAAATCGTTTACTTAAGCTGTACATTCTTATTTATAGTTGTAATGATGTCTATAGAAAGAAAAAAAACTGCATCATACATTGGTTCGAGACTCTAAACATTGAATGAAGTTTCGTAATAATCAGACGGTTAGAGAAGAATAGAAGGATGAAAGAAGGAATGCAAAAGTTACTATTTCGATACAGGAGAACTTAGTCATCTCTGGGCAAATCACTCCAGAGAAGTCTTCAGAGTAATCGACACAATCGAAAAAACTTGATCGAGGCGAGGCTCAATCAAAAACTTGTGCATTGGTGAGGGGTTGACAATCCACCAGTTCAAGCCCTAACTCTGCGTGCGAAAACGATACATCCAACCTCTCATCCTTCCTTGGACCTAGTTTTCTTCTGTAGTGTGTTTCGGTATTTTGATTGAGATCATGAATTGATCGATGTTAAGCCACCATTGAAAACCTGGAACCAATTTTTGATGCGATCTTTTCTATCTTTCTGTAGACGTATTTGCCATACAACTAAAAATACTAATGTACAGTTTAAATAATTGATTTCGTTGAAAAGAAATTTTTTCCGCTGAATCCTTATTTTTATACAATAACAATAGATTATTTTAATCATATTGATTTTACTGAGGATCTTTCTTCAGCTCGAATTGTAAAGAACTATGGTCGGATTGTGTCATTTTAAGAAAATTGTTAGTCATTTAAAGATCCACATATTGTTAGTCTTCTTATTCTGGACATTTAAAGTCTTCTACCGTTTTGTTGCATCAATTTGATATAGTTGTCAAAAACTATAACTACGGTTTAGTAAAACTCTTTAACCTTCTATAATAGAAAATTTTTCAGATAAATTAATTTTTGTTACGAGGTTCATCGATAACTTTTGATGGTGTTTTCGAGCTCATTACATTCACGTTTTTTTCATAAAAACCTCCTTGAGCACTTTGTTTATTTTCATTAATTTTACAGATATTTCATGCATAACGATTCACTGTCTCCTGTCCCTTCAGAACGACTTCTTGGACCTGGATACGGACAAGGTGTATGGCCTTTACGTGAACGTTTGGCACTTGCTACTGCTCTTTTAGATGTAGATAACCAGCAAGGAAGTTGGGCTGCCACTAGTCGTCGTATGATGTGTTTTTCCAGACCAGGTCGACCATCTACATGGTGTTCATCTAAAGCTTGTGCCAAACAATATGCTCTGCTTCTGGATTCCATTGAGTTAGTTAAACGCCAAAAAATGCCTGGAAGTGATTCACAATCAAGTCAGTTGAGTTTAGCTGAACGCGTTGTGAAGCGTTTGAGTGCTGAACGTGCAGAAGAGTTGAGATCGCGAATACGATGTGGTCAGCGTTACTACAGGTGGGCTGTGTTCCACTCATACATTTCAAATTAATGTTTTGTGTGTAACAGTCTTATTTCCTTTCAGTTCTTACCCAGTAAAATTTCATTACATATTCAAATTTTTCTTCGAAATAGTTACCATGTTCGCTATGCTACACGTACATTTTAAGTAGATCAGTCTAGTCGAGAGACATCAGTATATAGATTTAATTAGGAATCCTTCTTTTTCTTATTCCAATTATTCCAGCTTGAGTATATGAGCTACACCATTAAGTCTTAAGCGTTTGTCACAGTTTTATATAGAAATTGACTGATATTAGATGGCACTTCATTTTCTTTGTTGTATCGGTTTATGCGATTTGTAAGATTCCATTTTATGATAATCATATGAAACTGATAAAAATTTCGTTCTATTGAGTGGAATTTTCATAAATTTTCTATCCATTAACTTTTATCTCATGCACTTCTTTTTCAAGTTCGTTAAAAGGCATCATATCCGATGTGGAATCTGGAATGTATGATAATCAGTTGACGAACTTATTAAAATTAATGAATCCAATCCCAGATTTTAAAATGCAATCAGAAATTATTGACGGTGAATTTGTCCAAACAGCCACACCTCCAAATAATGATTTTTTTCATCAACAGACTTTTGCTGAAAATGATGCAATCAGTGGCCTACAAACTAAACAACCTAATAAATGTTCCAACAAATTAATTACAGAAAATAATCCTGCTAATAATAAACAAAGTCTTATTGAACTTTGGAAAGAGATCCAGGAATTTTATCATATTCCTGATTCAACATGGTATTGTGCTCCTGGTCCAATAAATAATCGAAATTTTACAGGAGGATATGGGAGTGTCACGAACAGATCTCGTCCGTCTGGTGTAGGTTCGCTTAATTTTTCCCGTTTATCAACTTTATTGGCAGAAGCATCCTCTCCAGCTCTAAAGCCTGCTACACAGTTCAGAAATTCGACGAATAAAGCTTCAAGTTATAAATCTAGTTCACATGAAATCGGCCACACAACAGCTGTATCTCGTGCTGCTGAAGCAGCTAAACAAAGATATTTATCGAAGACAAGCAAACACAAATTATCATCTGTTACGAGTCAACCCGCTCGAATTAACAAATCCAGTAAGCAAGACAATATATCGAAACAATGGCCTAAAAAAATTTCACGCAATAATAAATATGATTATGTTACTACAGCCTCTTCCACTTCTAAAGAAGATCATGTAAATCAAAGTAAGATTGTATTTAATTGATGCGATCACAAGAAATTCATTATAATTGTTTATTAATCATTTAAGCTCATATTAAAACAATATTTAATGTTTATGATTGCAATAACCTCTGGCTATTCAGCTTTAGTTTTCATACCTAGATATTCCGTAGTCAAATTTCAAAAAATTCTTATATTCTTTAAATATGGTATGAGGTTATCCATAGTTTTCTTAATACTCAAAATATGTGTGGTATCCAGGATTTTTTAGATACTTTTCTGTTCAATTGGTAGGTGAGTGCTGTATATTTGAGTGTAATTTTCACGAGGAATTCGATTTTGAACATATGATATCCGTATTTGTTTGCTAAGAACATGAACATGTCAATGTGGCACATTTTATTGTACCAGTCGAAAAAAAACAACAAATCTAGTGAAAATTAAGTGTTGGAATGAAATCTCTAAGAAAAATTACATTTCAAAATGTACCATTCACTAAACGAACAGAAAAATGGCCTAAAATGCTGGACGCTACACACTCATTGACCATTAAAAAGCGAATGGACAGTGTTATATTGATTGTATTTCATAGTCCTCTTGATAAAACTTTGTTTTAGTTTTTCATGACCTTCAGACAAGATGTACTACTAAACAATGTCATTAGGTCAGTGAGCCCGATTTCAGCAATGATTAATGGAAATTAAAATATTGTTGGCTTAAGATCATGTTAATCAGCAATACTGTAAATCACATGGCCAGAAATAATATATATATCAATTAGTTGCTATTGCTTTAAAATACACGTTCAACCAACCCACATATACTGATGTCTTCTTACTACATTATCAAAATTTATCAAAGGGACTAATTGCTTTAGCTAATAAGTGTTTGTAAATTTGGGAGACAAGTTTATTTATTTGTTTAAATTACAACCAAGAAATGCTCTGAACAAACACTGGGATGACAATTTTGGAAAGAAATAGTAAAGGAAACAGTCATCCAATCAGTAAATAAAGGGACAGTAATTGTTTGATAAAAGTAGGTAGTTTAGTTAGAAATGCAATCATGATATAGTTTTGCCATATATATATAGTACATCTACCGTCTATTTATTTTGCGATTATATTCTATATCCTAGATATCACTCGAAAATCACAGCCGTCGGATTGTAGACTATCTCACCAGAAAATCCATAGTAGTATCTACAAAAAGTCTGAATCTGAGAAACAAGAACTTTCCGACAGTGAAACGGAACAAGAAGATGAAGATTCTACGTTTGACGAATCGTCAACAGATAAACAAACTGATTCACCTTCATCAACGCCATCAACTGTTGCAATGTGTATGTCTGATGTAGAGGATTTTTTAATTCGGGATGATGAAAAATCAGAGAAAACTATTCCCAACGATGATAATGCAACCAACTCTACTTTAGACATCGATAGACCTGCCACAACAATACCTGATGAAGATGGGATTGATGGTTATAATTCTGAAAGTGAAAAGTTCACTTTATCATCTGATACCGTTTCTTCTTTGTCTACAGAAGCTGTAGGTGAGACAGACTATCAGGTTGAAGAAAAAAATTCTATTTGTTCTAGTCCTCCTACATTTGTAAATACAACTAATGTGCCTGAAATTGTAACCGAGGTAGAACTAAAACTTGATAATTTGAATCAGAAGTCACCTGTAGGCAAAGTTTTTGCTATTTCAAACGAGAGTTTACTTTCTGGTAGTAAGTTAGACGAAACCAATGATAATTCTGAAAACGAAACAGAAGTACGAACTATTACCGACCTTCATTGTTCCCTTGCGTCGCCTGTTAATATTCAGATTCCAGTGGAGAATATAACCATTTTGGAGTCGAAAGATTTTATGAATGTGGACAGTAAAGTGGCTCATGAAGTTGTTAACATTCCTCATGTCACAGAATCTTCCAACGTTGGACCATCCACATCTAACCTCGAAAATGGCGTAGATAAAAAACTTGGTCTTTCTTCAAATTTTACATCAAAACGAAAAGAATTTAGCAAGTCAATTTCGAAAAAGGCTCCTGCTTACTCAATTTTACCTTTTCTTATCAAAACAGAAAGTAATAAGAGTTCCCAGATTATTACTTCCGATGAAAAACATGATATGAAGGTTAAAACTAATGAGAAATTGGATCTGAATGCGCGTGAAAATATGATCAGCGAGTGGTAAGTTTAGGGTCTGTGTACTTTAATATTTTCTAAAATTTTAAATCTGATTTCGAATAATTAATTGTTTTCAATCACTCACGTTTACTTTTTGTCTCATACTTTTTTTTCTAATAGTTCAAGTTTATATATAAATTTAATGAAGTTATTTACTTTCCTAGTCTTAGTATATATCTTGTCTGTTACTTTACCGTCTGTGCATTTTCTTCTACTTAACGTACTTGATTAATTTCCTTTTCGCATCTCTACAACTTAGGTGTATTCTTATGATTTTCCTTGTTCACCAAATAAATCATTTCTATACATGTACTTAAATGACAACGCCTGTAGCTCTTCCAGAGTTACTACCTGTCCCAAGCCTGGGTAAAGGAGGACCGTTGGGCATGGGGTCGGCAACTACATCCTGCAGAAAACAATCTTGCTAAAAACACACCAACTCTACCTCATCAAGATATCAAAGAAAGGAGATCTGAGCAAGTGTGAGAACTACCGAGCAATCACACTACTGTCAGTACCAGGAAACGTTTTCAACAGTGCGTTGCTGAACCACATGAAAGATTTTGTAGACGTCCAACTTCGAGATCAATAAGCTGAATTCCGTAAGGATCGGTCATGCACAGACCAAAACATGACACTACGGATCATCGTTGAAAAATCAGTTGAGTGGAACTTACCACTATACATCAACTTCATTGATTATGAGAAAGCATTTGACAGTGCTTGCAGGAGGACATTATGGGAACGTTTTCGACGCTATGATGATGTACCTGAGAAGATCGTCAACATACGACGGACTACATTGCAGAGTCGTGCATGGAGGACAGATGTCAGATGCAGTCCAAGTAAGGACTGGAGTTAGGCAAGGCTGCTTATTCTCACCCTTCCTCTTTCTTTTCGTAATCGAGTGGTATATGAAAACCTCGACATCGGAGAGGTAACACGGAATACAGTAAACAACTTGGATGCAACTGTACGGTTTGGACCTCGCAAATGACAGGTTTTTTTTATCTCATACACACCAGCAAATGCAGACGAAGACAACCAGTGTAGCAGAAGCCTCCGCATCGGTAGGCATCAACATACACATATGAAAAAGCAAGATCCTCGAATGCAACACAGAGAACAGCATCCCAGTCACACTTCAGAGGTACCATTTTATGATGGATATCAACTGTTGTACTAACACTAAACGTTAGTAGCTTGACTTCATAAATCTATGTGTCACAAGGAATCAGTCGTCATAAACATGGGATCTGGGACATATGTGGATCAGTTCAAGTCGCTGCACAAAATCATCACAGTGAGGTGAAGTCAACAAGATGGATAATTAAGGTATCCTGGTAAATGTAGTAACATTGATTATAAAAAAACACTATATATTGTTTAGAAAGAGGGAATGGAATAAAGTGTTTGAAATAGTATCGAAGTTTGAAATTTAGAGGAATATAAGAAATTAATGCATTTGCAATCGATTTTAAACCACATCGTCCAGAGCTTCTAGTGAAAGCCGTTTATGTATGTAGTTATCGTTGGGAATATATGTATTCTATGTTGAATTAATGATCTTCTTTCTTGTTTTGCTTTAAAGCAATACGGATCAGTTAAATACTCCTGTTGTGGGTTCAAGCACTCCTATTCATTCAAATAATGAATCTGTTCAGTTAAACAATTCATCTATTTCATTGGGTTCTAAAAACCACAGTCTTCGACTTCGACTTAGTCGACAAGGGAGTCAACTCATTGTTCTACCTCCGTCTGACTCAATTGATAGCTCATTTCAAGGTTTAAATACATCGCAAAAGGAAGCAGCTTTCGATAACGAATGTCATGATACTAATTGGTATTCTTGGGCTAATCATTTGTTATCTAATGGTGAGCGGATTATAAGCGCATGGATGTCAAACGATGAATCTATGATACTTTCTCCTCGCTTAAAGTATGTTTTTGGGTTACATTTATATTATTTTCCTTGTCACAACTTCTTGTACTAAATACCCAAAATTATTTGCTTTTAGTACATTGTTAGTTTAACGTTGGTTTAATAATCGACTTATAATCGGTGATCAATTGGTTACTGTCTAATTCCATTTATTTTGATCAGATTAGCTAAGGATGGTTTTTACTTTACTTTCATTAATTCTTTACAAACATTACTGTTGTTTTAGCAGCCTAGTACCATAGCCTTATACTACAAATTTCTTTAATGGGTCAATCTGATGATTTAATAGCAACTTTATCATCCTTATTTTGCACAACTATATTTTGTGCATCTATTAGCCTCCTCAAGGGAAGTTTGTGAGAATTATTATGTAATATCTTGTTTTCATTTATTCTTTGAACCGATAAGCGTCAAAGTGACGTGCAGACTTATTGTACGGTTATTTTTTATCATCATAAATGATTTTGTGGTGAATAAAAAAATAAGGGCACACATTCCTCTGCTTTTCTTTTTAAGAACTCCAATAACATGTATGTGTTTAGTGGCTAGGAGGATGTTTATACTATTCTTGTTTTGAAAAGAGCAAGAACAAAGATTCTAACAGAATGGCATGAATTCATTTTATTTTGTTGGTTTTAGTGAGCTGCTTACAACCTATGAAATTCAAAATAATAATTACATAATGGGTTCTTCATTTAACAGCTTGACTGATTACTGTTGTTACAACAATTACCAACGATATATGACACTCAGTGGTTGAAACAAAGTTGTTTATTTCAAACGGTACACCAACAAGCGGTACAACAAACAGCGAAGCGAAAGAATGAACTTATGAATATAATATATCGAGCAAATACGTACATATATGTGTGAATGAATTGTCATCAGTTCAGTGTGTATATAAACAGTTTATATAGGCGAAATAAATATGAAGGCAGGTAAACACATATAATCATACCTACTCATTTTAACGTGAAAAGATATGTAGTTTAATTATGTGAAGATACGCATGAATTATCAAGAGGTAAGGTAACACATTTTACCTCTCACATGAATTATCCCAAAAGGTTTAACTAGTTTAAAGATTACACGGTTGTTCCCATTTGGGACTTCTGAATATCCTTGTCATTACTGTTTGCCTCAAACTTAGAAATCCTTATTTCAAACATTAGAACACTACCAACATAACTACTGAGCTGTGAGACGTAATATCCGTACAACGCTCTTTAGTAAATGAGGTGGTCAACATTCGTCGGAACGTGGGTTAATCCAGCTAGCTTTGTCCCCTCTTTGGTGAAATTTATATCTTGTTTTTATATAAACAGTGATAGATAGTGGCTATCAGCGGGAACCAGGACGCGCGTTTCGTCCTATTTGGGACTCGTCAGCTGGATGTACCTGCATCTCAGAGTTGATGTTCACTCTGGCACTCGAACCCAGTACCGTTCACTTCAAATGCCATCGCGTTATGCGCTCAGCTATTGAGTCCTGATAGCCACTTGCTTGTGCAATGGGGTGAATTTAAATTCTCATGGTATTGCTTACAAAAAGCTTGTGAATTAATGCAATATCGAGGCATATGCACAGTATGCACATATGCCAATAACAGACAGTCTTAAACCTCAATGGGAAGATACAAGCTAAACAATACCAAGTGAACTTGTTTTTATATGTTTAAATACTACTTTGTTACTGACTATTTGATTCACTCTCAATTTTCAATGGCTGTAATAATAAAGACTTATATCTCACGCTTTTTAAAGATATTTTGCAGCTTGTAGTTTATGAACTGTTTCCATCCTGTTTCTTTTAAAATACAGAAATAATACTTCACCCTCCGATTTGAAGGAACTGGTTCATGAATTATTAGATCCTATCATTAATGACTTAAATAATGAGTTAATTAAATCCAAGTTACAATTTATTCATAGATTGTTAAGTATACTTGCTCATACCGTCATGACTCGGGGAAGTAATACTATTCGAAATTTCATAGCTATGGAGCTATACAATCAATGGTCTGAACAGCTGCAAACAAATATATCAGAACCTGATTTCTCCTCAACCCCCTATTGTTCTAATTCGAAAACACCTGTGAGTATTTTAAAGTTATTATTTTACTATATCACATCATGTTGTTTTCTAGTTTTAAATCTTATTCCGATATCATAGGAAAATTTGCAAATAATCCAGAGTTCGTTGCTCTTATTTTCTGTATACAACATAACTAATTGGATATATGCTAAATCTTATAAATATATTTCTGCCTCATTACTTCATTTATATGTTTGCCCTTAAATTTAATATTCCTTTACGACTGAAATGTAAACAAAGTGATCTTGATGAACTCTCAATATACCAACATTTTGTCTTTGTCACAAGACGTACGAAGTCAGTATTTTTGTTCAAAAACTATATCCGGCCGATCGTCGGCTAAGTACAGAACTTTGCTCATATATGCGTCGGCTCGAGATGCCATCTTCGCCTAGAAATCAGCGATTAACCTCAGCATTGCTCGTGTGGTGATCTCACCATATGCAAGTATTACCACTGCCTAACTCAACGGGTTATATTATCTGGTGTGAGAGTAGGATGAAAGATAGCTGGGGGCTATCAAATCAAGATGTGTTACCAGTCTATTAGGTAATTGAGAATCGGACAGCCATACTAGTGGGCTTAGACTACCTGGTATGGAGTCCTCGTGACTATCGTAGCCAATGGCTAGAGACTCTGGGTCATATGTCTCAGAATAGTCGAAATGAAACAGACGTATTCATTCTTTGTCTTCCTCTAAAAATTGAGTCCCAAAACCTCCTTATACCTTTTTTCCTCTTTCTGTTATTAGTCTTCTACTACTTCTGACACCTCTACTTCTACTGCTCTAGGATATTTGAAATAATTTCATTTTACTGTATAGACATGATATGACAACGTGAACTGATGCATGTGTATCAGGTTCCACATTGTGTGTGACTGGCTGAAACCTATGATTAAAATGTAGTGACCTACGTATGCATTCTAGTTTTATGAGGGTACCTAACAGAATAACTTATATTTACATACAATAAAACGAAAGATAACTTAACGACTGAGATTTGAAGTTACATATTCATACTCCGCACTTTTACTTAATTCTTTGACTTCACAAATACAATCTGGATATTCCATGTTGGTTTTTTTCTTTTTAAGGAAACATTTTACAGTGATCAATTGTTTTCAACAATATCATCATCAGGTTCATGATATACAGTTATAAGGCTTTAATTATGGTATTACAATTGCCAAAATAAGTCATAAACAAGTGATTCTATTACAAATTGATTAGGTTAAACAGTTTTATTTATGAATTAGAAAAAGTCATTCAAAAAGGTAAGAACATTCGTCGTAAGGTTTCGAGTTACATTTGGTATAATAAAATAAATCATATGATTCAATGATCCTCCTCATTTAGAATGACACATTTTTTCTAAACGTAATTAAGCTGTAAAAAGTGCAAAATTTCATTATTTTGACACAAAACATTAATTCAATTGTTCATGCCTTATTTTGGCGATAGTAATACAATAATTACTGATTTAAAACTATTGAGCTTTAGCCTGATGATGACGTTGCTGTAAACAACTGTTCACTTAACTATATTTTCTTTTTCTATGTACTTTGGGCAGTCTTTAGATAACTGAAGTGTTTTAGAAATAAATTTTCACGATTTATTGACTTCCTTTGCTGATAATATTTAGATACACTTCAGTAAGTATATTTGATTCCATTCATATCGTACTATTTTGTAACTAGACATTAAATTCATCAAGAACAATGCTTTTTTTAAATTATTCATTTGGATATTGCAATGACAGAGGAAGGTTATCAAAATTACGTGATATATTTCCATAATACATTTCAAAAAATCTGATCACATATATACTTGTTAAGAACACTTATATCTGAAAAAATGAAAGGTTAACTAGAAAAGTTAAAAGATAAGGGAAAACAGCGGTAACAATAGAGTAATCAACGTGAAAACCACTCCAGATAATAGATCAGTATTGCTAGGGTGGATTAATTAATTAAATTATTTAAATACATAAACAATGGTACAAGGAGGCACCAAAGTGATATGCGCCACACAAATCATTCAATTTGTCTGAAGTCTGGGATACTGTCCGGGTTCCCAAACCGCATCAGATGGTTTTCTTAGGGAGCCACACTGCAAGCCTTTGACTTGAAGGTCTAATCCATAAGGCAGTGGAAAACATTGGGAGATGCAGTTCCATGGTAGCCGGTGACCAACGATAGGTCCATACGCCATTTGTTCCTTCAGGATACTGGAGCCCATGTACACCATTGGTTTGGAATCTAGGTTTTCCAACTCCCCTAGGTGGATCCTCCGTATCCACCAACTCGGTTAACTTGCCGGCCATTCGCTTTTCGTTCTCTTAATTTCGTAAACAACACCCCCGCCACGCGAAGGCAGTGAGTAGGCCTTCCAAATTGCTTTTGAACACATCTGAGGAGATCAGTTTTGTATGTGGCTAAGGCTTCGATAAACCTTAGTATATGTTCTTGAACACTTTTGCATAAAACTACAAAGGCTGACTTGATATCGATCTTATGATCGGTCTCAATTAAATGTTTCTCAACGGAGGGAAATATCTGTCTATCCTATGATCTTATTTGACTGTTGGAATTCATTTGTGTTTGTAGCTATTTAGGTACGTGTTCAACCACATTTACTTTCAGACCACGATCGCCCCTACCTATGTATGCGTTACCACACATCCATGTAAATTGATAGACTCTATGGGATGTGACACAATCGGTTTTTGGTGAAACATAAACCTTGAGTTTTCAGTAGTGATGAGTTTGACTGCGTGATATGTCTTACTGATAGCTTATTTAAATCTTCGTTTCAACATGAGACTGTATGAGTCTCTTCTAACTGGTAAGATGTAGACTCGTTTTTTTTTGGGTGGCGAAAATGTAAGCATCATTTTATTGCTGCCTTTCCAACGGTTTATAAATTTTGATGAATAACCGTTATTCATCAATGTTTTGGTTCAGAGCTTTACGTCTCCCTCGTTAATATAGCTATTGAAAATACGATTGATACGCTCTTGTACTGAAATTATACAGTGGCTATGGTAACTGAGATATATTGAACTGTCCATGTCAGCTTTCATAATACAGAACGTTTGATGGAACCATAGTCTCTTTCACTAGTTAGTATGCCCAGAAAAGGAATCTGATTATCCATCGCTTCTTCACATGTAAAACAAATATACTTTTGACTTGTATTGGTGGATACGGTGGATCTACCTAAGGGAGTTGAAAAACCCTGAATACAAACCAATGGTGTACATGGGCTCCAGTATCCTGAAGGAACAAATGGCGTATGGACCTATCGTTGGTCACCGGCTACCATGGAACTGCATCTCTCAATGTTTTCCACTGCCTTATGGATTAGACCTTCAAGTCAAAGGCTTGCAGTGTGGCTCCCTAAGAAAACCATTCGCTTTGGTTTGGGTCCGGGAAGTATTGAATAATTTATGTGGCGCATATTTATTTGGTGTCTCCTTGTACCAATGTTTATGTGTCTAAATAAATAAATAAGTTGGATTCTCTTAACAAACAGTTCACTTCTTCATGTTTATCGCTTATGACTATGATGCCATCCATGTACCGCTTCTACAAACACATCTTTTAAATTGAGCCTTCAACTAGATTTTCCACATATGCCATAAATACATTACCCAGCAATGGTTATAAAGGACAATCATAACGACGCCACCAATCAGTCGAAAATGTTCCCCCTAAAAAATGAATTTCACACTATCAGTATATAGTAATAATAATAATAATAAATAAATAAATTAATTAATTAATAAATAATAATAATAATAAATCTTCAAGGGTTTTTACAGAAAATGGCAATGGAAGTTTATTCAATGCAATATAGTCACGCAAAATAATAATAGTCTCCCTAAGGGTGGTTACACTTGTAAATAAAGTGTTTGCATCAAAAGAGCATAGTCTTAGTTTTTATAGGAATATCCATTAAGTAAATAGTTAATTTAAGTGAAACCTTCAAATAATGCTTTTCTCATATATAATGTCTTAACAAGTTTTTGTGTGATTAGATTGTTCGAAATGCCCTGTTCGAATACATCACATAATTCAGTCTTCCAGTCGAATTATCTGAAGTTATGAAATGGATTAGTTATTTCAGTTATTTATTGTTACTATATTGTAAGCTTTTAGAGTGTTTTCATTCAAATCTTGATGATGCTACCTTGACGTAGTGGTCGGGCTTGCCCATCGTGATGAAGCAACCGAGCTATACTGGCTAGAACAACCGTTCCTCAAGGTCCTACCATGTCAGACAGGTCGGTTGAAGAGCGGTAAGACTAAAATTAACAAACGCAAGGTTCGAAAGCGAAGTCGTACTGCTGACTGCGCAGAGGTGTGACAGCAGTAAGGTGTTTCGTTCAAACAACCAGCATGAAAGCGATACTGCCTTCTCACAAGGAGGGGTGGGGTTAGAAAAGGTCGACCCTAAAAATGTCACACCTCACCTTACCTCACGGATTTCCGTCTCCGGCGGTAAGGTCTCAACAAGTACGGAGCTAACACAAAAATTACCCATATAAAGGTCGCGTGTGACCGACCTCAAGCAGTTGTCTCCTGGGCACTGCGGTCACGCTCTCAGGTCACTAAGACCACCACTAATCCAATTTCCTGAATGAAGTGATAGATGAATTTTACAGAAAGCTTTTTGGACTTCAAAAAGACATAGTACTTTAGCAGGTGACTTTAATGCTCAGGTAGGTAGCTTAAACCAAACAGAAAGACATTTAGGTGGGTATTTTATTATTCCGGCACAGTGAACAGATAATGGTGATCGTCTGCTGCAACTGTGCTCAGACAATCATTTATTTTTAGCAAGCACCAATTTTAAGCATAAGGAGAGACATCGTCTAACATGACAACCACCTGCACCAAACCAACGATGGACTCAAATAGACCATATTGCCATCAGTCATCGTTAGAGAGGGTCGGTAGAAGATTGTCGCTCATTCTGATGTACCTGCTTGGACTCCGACCATGTCCTAATACGGGCACCCATCTTCTTGAGCCTCATGGGACTCAAAAAAATCCACACCAAAAAGACCCATCAAGACAATTTAGTAACGAGAAATCCAAAGTTAGGTCTCAGGAACGACTGAGGTCACACTTAGGTAGTTCTGAAGACGAGGCTGACCCAGATGTTGCTTGGAAAAGCATACAATCAGCTATGGAAACAGCAGTGACATCTATTAGTGACTTAAACCACAGAGTTACAAAGAACCAGTGGATTTCTTCAAGGTCTATCACACTGATGGATTCTCGCAAACTCGTCCCATCAGGTTTTGAACATGATGAAGAGCGTAAACAAATCAGATCTAGGTTAAGAAAAAGTCTAAGAAACGACCGTGAGCAGTGGTTGGTAGCGAAAACAAACGAGATGGAGAAGGCGGCGGCTATAGGGAACACAAGAAAGCTCTTCAAACTCATAAAAGAAACTGGAACTAATAAGTGAAGTGTGAGATTATTTCGGAAAAAGACGACACACTTATCTGCTCTCAGTCCAGACTTTTAGAACGATGGGCGGAGCATTTCAGAGGACAGTTCAGCTGGCCTTCAGCTACTCTACAATTACCCTCCATCCCGGACAGTGTGAGTGGAACATTGAAGTAGGTCCCCCAACTCTAGCTGAAGTTCAAAAGGCTATAGTTAATCTGAAACGAGGAAGGGCAGCTGGTCCAGATGGATTGACTCCAGAGTTCTTTAAGGATGGTGGTCCAATTTTAGCGATTAGGTTGACTAGTATTTAAGCCAACATATGGGAGCTGGACATTATCCCATCTGACTGGTCACAATCACTAATCTTTCCAATATATAAGAGATGGTCAAAATCATCCTGTGACAACCATAGAGGGATTAGTTTGACTAATATAGCATCTAAAATACTAGGCTCGATGGCTATCGAACGTCTAACTAAGACTCGTAAACTCGTGAACTGCAAACACGACAGAATCAAGCTGGCTGCAGACCTGGTCGTGGCTGCATCGACCACATATTCACCATTCATCAGGTTCTAGAACACAGGCATACTTATCGGCATACGACAATGGTGGTCTTTCTAGACATAGAAGCAGCATTTGACTCTGTAGATCGCGAGATTCTGTGACAGTGTCTGTCACTGAAAGGCGTACCTCAGAAGTACATAAACCTTGTGAAGGCTCTTTACTCGAACAATACTAGTCGAATCAGAGCTTATGGCGAACTGTCATCTCCTTTTGCAACCTCAAATGGTGTCCGTCAAGGCTGTCCACTTTCTCCATTTTTGTTTAACTTCATCATAGACCTATTGATGGGAATAACATTCTCGTCGACTTAATTTTCGGGTATTGATCTGCAACCAGGAGGTCCGCTTATCGACTTAGAATACACAGATGAGATAGTTCTGTTTGGTGAAGACGCTGATGAAATTCTGAGTCTTTTAGTAGCACTAAGCAACAATGCAAGAATGTTTGGAATGCGCTTCTCTCCCTCCAAATGCAAGTTGTTGCTTCAGGACTGGCCTGTGTCAACACCTGAACTAAGGATAGGGAGTGAAATAGTCGAACGCGTTGACAACTTCACTTATCTTGGAAGTCTGATCAACCCTAATGGGTTGGTGTCTGACGAAATCTCAGTACGGATTCGAATAGCTCGTTCCGCTTTTGCCAACTTACGTCATCTATGGCGAAGTCGAGATACCCATCTATCAATCAAAGGACGAGTATACTGCGCGGCAGTTCGTCCTGTTCTAATTTACGGCTGCTAAACGTGGCCAGTAAGGGTAGGAGATGCTCGTAAGCTACGAGTATTTGATCACAGATGCCTTAGAAATTTTGCTCGCATCTGCTGGGATCACTGGGTAAGTAATAGTGAGGTTAGACGCAGAGTATTAGGGAATGATGGTAAATCAGTTGATGAGGTTGAAATTCCTCATCGACTGAGATGGTTGGGACACGTGTTGCGTATGCCCGAACACCGATTACCACGACGTGCAATGCTAACTGGTGTTCGGGATGAGTGGAAGAAAGTTATGGGCGGCCAACCCAAAACGTGGCATCAGTGCTTGAAGTCACTAACTTGTAGTCTGAGCCATGTTGGTAGATGCAGACTACTTGGTTGGGGTCCGCGTGACTATCGTGACCAATGGTTGGAGACTCTTGGTGACATGGCTCACGATCGATGGCACTGGCGTCGGTGTACACACTCTCTGTCTTCCCATAAACTAAGAGATTAAAATCGCTCCATACCTTTCTTTCTTCGTACTAAACCTCTATTCCTGTACTGTATCCTTATATATCATATATTATTACTTCTATGAATCCGGTGTTCATCTTGCTGTGCTAGTGCGGTATAGCAACTTGAACCGATGCATATATGTGTCTGTTCCTATGTTATAGCTGAATAAAATGTTTTATTAGTTTTTGTTATTGTGTTCTCTGAACTAGTAAGTTTACTAACTTCATGAAATTGATTCCCCCGACGTTGCTGTCCAAAATGACACTTTTAGCTAGCCAATTATTGAACCATCCAGCTTACGGAACACAATAATAAAGATATCGTTCATCTGAACGGCAATTTTTTTCCATCACGTTTTATCAGATATGTACCTATTTTATTAAAAGACAGGTTTCATATATGCTCACTTAACCATTTTAATGTTTTTAAATTTTAGCCATCTTGGTCAATCGAAACAGAAGATAATTCATTGTATACCTGTAGAGATCCGCCTACACTGACACTTGCATCTTCATCATTCAATTCATTATCGTCTAGAAAATCCAGTGATACTGTGGTAAGTCGATTTCTACACAATTATTCCAGTCTACATACTTACACCTCTTACCACTCACGGAGGAGCATAAGCCGCCCGCCATCACTCTCCATCCAACTCTGTCCCGGGCAATCTTTTCCAGTTCTTTCCACTTCCTATTCATCCTTTTCATGTCTGATTCCAATTACAGTCGTAGTGTGTTCTTCGGCATTCCACTTTCACGTTTACCTTGAGGATTCTAAGTTAGGGCTTGCTTCGTAATGCAGTTTGGTGATTTCCGTAATGTATGTCCTATCAACTCCAACTGTCTTTTTCTGATTTCCTCTTTAGACGGAACCTGGTTTGTTCTCTCTCACAGTAGGTTGTTGCTGATGGTTTTCGGTCAACGGATATTAAATATCATACGTAGACAATTGTTTATAAATACTTGTACTGTTTTGATGATGTTTGTAGTAGTTCTCCAAGTTTCAGCTCCGTACAATAGAACTGTCTTGACATTCGTATTGAAGATGCTCACTTTTATATTGGTTGACAGTTGTTTTGAGTTCCATATGTTATTCAACTGTAGGAATGCCGTCTTTGCTTTGCCGATCTTCGCCTTTACGTCTGCATCTGAACCTCTAGGTGAATGTTTCCAACTCTTCCAGAGTTTCTCCATCAAGTGTGATTGGATTAGTGTTCTGCGTGTTGTATTTGAGGATCTTGCTTTTTCCGTTGTGCATGTTAAGGCCCACTGATGCAGAGGCTACACTGGTTGTCTTCATCTGCATTTGTTGGTGTGTATCAGATGGGAAGGCTATGTCTTTTGCGAGGTTCAAGCCGTCTAGTTGCATCCAAATCATCCGTTGCATTCCGCGCTTCTCCTGAGATATAGAGCATCTTTCAATCTCTTCTACGTCTTAATTCAATGCTTTACCTAGTGTGTTATAAGGTCCTGATGCTTTTCAACTATTGATTTGTCTGATGACCGGGCATCCTGATTTCTTCTGTGTATTCAGCTCGTGCTTTGGCTTTCTCTGCTCTTGTCCGGTTGTTGTTGATTACTTTTTTCTTGTTCTTCCTTTCTTGAATCCTGCCCAGGGTTTCGATAGAGATCCATTCCCTATGATGATGCTTGTTGCGGTCCAGAACCTCCTAAAACTTTGAAGTTAGTGATTCTTTGATCCCCTTGCAGTTGTCCTGTATAGAAGTTTCTGTTGGGATATTCAGGAAAATATCCCAAAAATTATTCTGTTAAGTCTAATGCTATCCTTGGACTTGAAATGGTGTTATTTTCTTATTGGTCATTATTTATTTCACGTGTTGTTTTCCTACTGGTCAGTATAGTACAATGTTATTTTCTATTTTATGGTACGACGATGTGGTCTGCTTGGTTGGTATATAAACAGAATATGTTTGAAATATAATGATTCATATCTCAGAGGCTGAGACTTGCGTTCTGGACTCAACTGGCTGGGCTCGACAGGGAAGCGGGACCAATCAGAACCCTAGATTGTTCTTGCGTGTTTTACGTGTCACTGAATTGATCGTTAAACACGCTGCTATCTAAATCTGCAGTCCACTCGTTACAACAGTTTCTTCTTTGAGTAGTTCCTGTCAGGCTTTGGACTTATTGTTGAGAGTTATCTTGAATTCGTTGAGTTTGCTAGTATCTCGTAGAGGGCTGTATTGAACCTTTTTACTGCCGCTTCCCCAGCTGTTCAGTGTTTCTTTAGCTTCAGTTTCATCTTGGAAACCACCAGATGGTGATCTGAAGCTATGTCAATTCCTCTCCCGGGTCTCACGACTTTCATTGACCTTGTAAATCCTTCCAGTCAGTCAGCCACAACGTAGGACCAGGCACATATGCATCGGTCTAATTTTCCATACCTCATTAACACAACAAGATGGACACCGGATTCAAAAAAGTAGGTAATTCAGAGGTGGTAATATATAAAAGATTGCAATAAGGATATAGTACAGGAAGAAAGAATTAGTTCATAGAAAGAAAGATATGAAGCGATTTTAATCTCTTAGTTTATGGGAAGACAGAGAGTGTGTACACCGACGCCAGCGCCATCGATCGTGAGCCATGTCACCAAGAGTCTCCAACCATTGGTCACGATAGTCACGCGGACCCCAACCAAGTAGTCTGCATCTACCAACATGGCTCAGACTACAAGTTAGTGACTTCAAGCACTGATGCCACGTTTTGGGTTGGCCGCCCATAACTTTCTTCCACTCATCCCGAACACCAGTTAGCATTGCACGTCGTGGTAATCGGTGTTCGGGCATACGCAACACGTGTCCCAACCATCTCAGTCGATGAGGAATTTCAACCTCATCAACTGATTTACCATCATTCCCTAATACTCTGCGTCTAACCTCACTATTACTTACCCGGTGACCCCATTCCGTGTTTGGCATTTAAATCTTCGATCAGGATGGTCTAATACTTACTTGTCCACTTGTCTACGATAAACTGCAGCCTTTCATGAAGCTGATCATCTTGTTTACCATCACTAGTGGGCGTATGTCTCTGGATAGCATATATTGTAGTCCCCTCCTGCTTTGTTTTGAAGGATGCTTTGATGATCCTGAATCTATGAGATTCCCATCTTTTAAGTGCCCTACTTGTTTCTTCGGACAGCATCACAGCAACTCCTTGAGTGTTCCGGGCATTTTTTTCTTCGTGACCAGAGGACAGTAGCATCTCTCCTTTTCTGTCCAACTAGTGTATAACAGACTTCACTTATTTCGAGTACTGCCAAGTTGTATCTCCACATTTCCTCAGCTATTTGGTTGGTCCTCCTGGCCTTCCACATTGTCCGAACATTCCATGTATCCATAATAATTGTTGCTCTGGCTCTTAGAAAAGGTATCATCCTTATGACTTCCGAAAAATCTCGTCTTCCACTATGAGTCGTCACAATTCTCCCTTCAGTTGCCAGGGTAGAGTTTAAATCGTTTAATTTGTTTAATCCTGTTGGTGTTTTTAGCGAGATTGACAGTACTCTAGAGGGGTGTCCGAGACATTTTTCTGACTCGAATTGACCTCGGGTGCGTATTTCAAGTGAGTTTCATGTATGGGCGAGGAAAATAAGGATTAGTTGCTTGCTTAGTCTGACTGGTAGATGACGTTTTAGGTACTGAATAAGTTATATATTTTCCTAAATATATTATTAGTTTTGTTGTTGGTTTTTGGATTGGGAATTTACTTACTTTCTAGTCGGGCTAGTCACGTGTTATTGATCTGAATTGTATTGAAGTCCTGTAAAACATACACTAGAAGACTATCTAGTGTGGATATTCGTCTAAGGTAAATTGACGTTCCATTCAAGTAGACAGAGAAACGGAGAGTTATAAGAGTTCAGAAATTATTCTAGTGAATCTGACAACCTGGAAGAGGTTGGAGTATGAAGCGCTCACAAAGGTGTGTAAATAACTGAACCGGTTTTACATTATGAGTTATGTTTCAATGTTTACCAATCTAAATTTATCTTGACCGGCTGATGAATGATTATAGACATGTTTGACCATACTTAATATAAGATATCTTATGTATAGTACTAGTTTTGCTTTTGTTTCTGTTCGATTCTACCTGTTGACTGGTTTTTATTGTGTTAATGAACTGTCGTTCTATCCTATATCCGGTTCTTGATTGTTAGTCGAATAATTTCATGACTATATGTATTACGTGATTAACTTCCAGTTGCTAGCATTATGAACGTGAATATTTTTTCCTTTATGTTGATTTCCTATCTGTACTGATTAGTGGCACTTCGTGATGTAAATTAGAAGCACAATTTTCAGAATTATGCATTGTATATAAGCCTAATGTCATCGTTAACTTTTATGCATGTTCATCAAATACTCTCCCTTGATTTCATGCCTTCTTTTCAAATGTTTGTCGTGATAACAGCAGTTAATTGCAGAAAGATCACCTAGCAACCATGTACTTACACAATTCATAATCTCAATGACTCGCGTGATTGTTAGCGCATCATTAAATTAAGCAGTTATGAAAATTGTATAGACCTAACGCAGAAATCACACTCAGAACTTGGTCTCGAAATCTCGTACTAACACCAATGCAACCGACGATCTAACATTGATTCCAGACTTGTTATTTTATATTTATTACTGCCTTGTTTTAGCAATGTTTTGTTCAGTTCTACAGATAAATCGTTAAAACGTAGTAAACATCTATCTTTGTTTTCCTCTTATATTATAGAAATCTATTCCGCCAATTCTACTGGAAGTTCGTAGTATGAATACTCCAACAGAAAGTGATAGATGAAAACGGAGCCATTCGAGTGTTGAAGACAATAATGATGATTTAGATATTTAAATTTAGTTCTGTATATGTTATATCTCTCAACATATTTAATAATACTTTAGCATGATATCTACGTGACTTAATTTTGTTTTGTACAATTTTTCCCATGGAGCGTAAAGCTTTATTCGAATTTATATTACTTTCTCTTATAGATGATGACATTATATGCATTTTTATCTCAATATACAATAGTTCTTTATTTGCATACGGAAATCAGATGTTATGTAATTTATGTTTTTTGAATTGCACATCTCACATGATCTTTCCTGTTAGCTTCACTATACCTGATGCATTTCGGGCAACATGTTTGGTTTGTTGAATGCGATCGAAAGGAACTATAGTCATTATCTACGCTATGAAAAATCTCTGCAAGATGCTATTCGGCAAACAGTTTACGTTACTAACAGACTACAAACCGATACTGACAGTTTTGGGGCCCAAAAAGTGTCCCTGTTTATGTGGCAAACCATCTACAACGATGGGTAACCACATTACCGGGCTGAGATTTCAAGATAAAATGTCAACCGACGACTGATTTCGAACAGGCAGATGCCCACTAAAGATTAACTGGTTTCCAGACAAAACAAGAAGTGGTGTTTGTAGCTGCCGTAGAAACTGTGGCCAAAGCTCGCAGTGTTGACAGACGCAAATTCAGGACAGCCGATCACATACAAAGCCATTAAAGAAACTAGCGAAAAGGACGATACGCTAAAGACCGTTCGTATACTCAGCAAGTGGTTTTCACCTCAACTCCATAGAGAGATTTTACAGTAATTTTGTCGGACTCCTTGACAATTGTAGTTCCGTGCATCATGTTTGGCCGCCGGATCGTTATCCCCAGAATTTCTGGGCATTAAGACCTAAAACATTTACATAGCGGGCACTCAGAAGTAAGTAAAATGAAGTCACTGGCTCAGAGCTACACATATTGACCGTCAATGGACTGTGAAATAGAACAAAAGTGTCGTAGCAGTTGGTTCTGTCTAGAAGCTGCAAAGAATCCAACTGAAGCAGGACCCCAAACATGACTGAATTTAGACAGGCTTTGACAAAGAATACATGCTGATTTCGCTGGTGCAGTACAAGACAGAAACTAATTGGTTGTTTTGGATGTCTTCACGAAGTGGCTGGAAGTGTGCGAACATGACAACAAAGGATACAATAAGAAAATTGTCAAGATTGTTTGGTTGTTTTCGGGCGCCGGAGATCTTAGTAAATGGCAATGGCTCTCAGTTCATGTGATCCGCTTTTAAACGGTTCTGCTATGAAAATGGCATTACGCATCTACGATCTTCTGCGTACCATCATCAGTCGAATGAACAATAAATGATCGTGGATACAATGAAAATGAATCAAATTAGAGGAGTAGGAGGAGGTGGTCCAGCATATGTGACCAGTAACTTCTCAGTATCTTACAGAGTTACATCCCACCAGGCAGTGACAGTGTGGCGCATATATATTTGGCGCACTCCTGTACCAATATATGTGTTCAAATAGATAAATAAAATAAGTGACAAAGGGAAAGTCCCCAGATGAGTGTATGTTTGGAAGCGAAGGTCTTTAACAGTATGTTGCCACCCAGAAAGACAAATAAACCTACTAACGAGCATCTTGCGGTCACTTAGCTTCTAGATAGATGAAGGGATACCTATCAAGTTAACAGGAAATGGGAACCAGATATTGAACGTCGGATGGAAAATTACTGTCGTTAGTTTGGAGAACTGTCGGGAAATGTAAAAGATGTCAATAAAATCTAAAGGGATAGTAGAACAACGATTACACGAAGCGTGGATTCAATTCCAAAAAGCCCTAGGGAGAACGGAATCAGAAGATATAAAAGACAAAAGGGCAAAACAGTACAACTTTCAAGATTGATGGACCGTAAGAGGAATGCGGTAAGAAAGTTTTAAGTGAATCCGAGTAGAAAGTCTTACACAATAGATTTCAAAGAGAGGTGTGGGGACCATCTTTAGGAAGAACATTCCACACACCGACGTGTAGATTCCCGAATCGACAAATGCTAAAAGTCACTGCATGCGGATTGCATAACAGTAATGACGGTTTTATTTTTCCTTAAAGTTATAAGTACCCAAGTAATGTACCATATTGGACTATTTGGAATAAGGTTTCTTCCCATTCGTCTTCTGTCATCAAACGTGCGAATTCGAAGGTCCAAGCGTTCGAGTATAAAAACTCAGGTTTTAGATATAACAGCTTCAGACGACGGAGGAATAACAATGAATGTTATCCAGAGACATGCGCACACTAATGATAGTTATGGGTGGCGTAATATTCCCACACAAACGCATACACAAAGTTACATGGATAACACCACGGAGAGCCAGATAGGTCATAGTTGCATCACTAAAGAATTCACAAGGTCAATGGAAGACGTGAGATCTAAGAGAGGAGTTGACATAGCTTCAGATCACCATCTGGTGGTTTGGTAATAAAGGTGATAAACATGTTTTATGAAAAGCGACAGCCGATCTTAGAGAAAAGCATAGATAAAGACCGAATACATATGTTCTACACAAGTTATTTGGTATGTCTGCCGGCTATCATACTGCTCGGGCCGAAGAAGATGGTTTCATTAAGGAGCCACTCCTCGCACCTGACGTTTTGAACCACAGGGCAGTGAAGCAACATAAGGAGATGCAACCCCATGGTGGCTGGTGTTCAATAAATGGTTCCTACGCCATTTGTTCCCTCAGGATACTGGAGCCCATGTACACTACTGGTTTGGAACCAAGGTTTTCCAACTCCCCTAGGTGGATCCTCCGTATCCACCAACTGGGTTAACTCGCCGGCCATTCACTTTTCGTTCTCTTAATTTCGTAAACAACACCCCCGCCGCGAGGTCGTGACTGTTAACGAGTAGCTATGTGAGGATGTTTCGAGAGGGAGGGCTGAATTTCTCCACTCATGCCGTATCAGGGAATATGGAGGCAACTGAAGAATATTAGAGCTAACAAGCGGAAATATGTGGGAGACAGAGGAAAAGGCATGGAGAAAATATGAGAGAACTACATAACACGACGAAGAAACTAGCAGGGAAGTATAGGAAACCAGATAGACTGGTCGAGAGTAAGGAAGGCAAGTCAACCCAAACTCTTGGGTAGGACTTTTTGGAGAACTCTTGGATATATAAGCCCAGTGAGCGTACCAGATATCGATGCAACATACACAGAGACCTTCCTATAGCTGGAAACGTTCACGTACCTGGACAGCATCATCGATGAACGTGAAGGATCAGATGCAAACGTAAAGGGGGAGGATTTACAAAGCGATGGCAACATTCCTACAATATACCCAAACTGGAGAATGTTTCAGGACTATATGAGGATTATACTAACCATTCCTTTCACCATGATACGAATAGCACCATACCGTAAATCATTCCAACCGATATTGTATTTCGTTCTTTCATTTAGATCCTAAAACTAAAATTTCTTAGCTAGTTACAGAAGTACGAAATTGAGGGAGGATAAATGACATGAAGCTATAACAGCAGAGATTGAGTCAGGAAAAAGATGTGTGGTCACAACGCAAATATGGGAAACAACTAATCAAATTCCATATGGAAACCACTTATGTACGAATTATAATAATTTCCTTTCTACTGTATGGCCAATTAATATTTATTGGATTGGTCTTGAATGCCCTTATTTCGCGTCTTAGAGATGGCAGTTCCGAAAGTCCAAGTATTAGTGGTGAAACCATAGACTCAACAAGTACATTGAAAGCGACGACCTCCAGACATAAGACAATGGGTCAGTTGTCACTCATCGTCGTATTGACGACTAAGTTGAAAGACAGCTCTAGCTGAATATAGTAATTCATACCAGTAGATATTTTTCCATGAAAAATCCCGTATATTTAAGAATAAATAACACAAATATTATAATTTTGAAGAATCTTAACTGAAAACTGTTTAAGGTTATTACCGGACTCTAGATTGGATAAAGGATGAGCAACCATACATCGTACTAAACAAATTCACTAAAAATCGCTAACCAAAGTGGAATGATCAGACCACCTCAACTCTCCCCAGAGAGTTGAAGGGTCTTCACATGGAACGGTTATGACACCTAATAATAAAAGTTGAGATGCCTAATAACCCATGAGGTCGACACCCTTTATGACAATCAGAACAACAATAAACAAGGATTTGGAGCGCTCAGACAATGTGAGACTGGTAAAATCACTGGAATAGCGACAGAAATAGGATGATACAACATGGTTCTGATAGAAATAAGTAAAATTCACTATTTGGAGCAACAGAAGGACTGTTATTATTTTCCGATCACGAAGAAATTCCCCCTCGCACACTCAAGGAGTCGCACTGGTGCAGTACAAACAAGAATGGGAAGTGATTATTGGATTAACACCCTAAAACTTCACACTACAAAACGATTACGAGTGTCATACAGCACATCACAAATGATAAAGATCAGTTTCATGAAGCCTTAGTCCATGCTAGAGAAACACAATGAAGTACTAGACCATCGCAATAGGAGACACGGGGTGGAGGAAAGAAATGACAGTGGTGAAACTGGTAGGTCTATGTGCTTACAACAAGACTGTGACGGACAGTGGCACTTTCTCACAAAGCTATATGGGTTTCACCAAGTCACAACAGAAAAATAGGATAAGCAATCAACTGAATGGAACTCATTACCATACACGGATTCTTTTAAGTATGAAAAAAGTAGTTGATAACGTGGAAAGGAGAACCTGGTAAAATCTCCGGCACAACGGAGTACCAGAGGAAAATTTCGTTACCATACAAAGCTCCTAAGGATACTGAATAGCAAAAGTGTTGCATTAGTGCACCTCACGTTTAAATGAAGATTGGTGTCAGACAATACTGTCTAATCCTACCTCCTCAATCTTTTAGTCGGTGGTTGGGCCATGAAGACAGCCATGTCTCAGACGAAGTACGGAATACCGTGGACACCCTGGACAATTCGAACTTCAAAGGCACAAATGCAGATAGAAATAGCCAGTGTAGCAGTGCTCTTTGGAAAAACAGGCATTAAGATTAACACGAGCAGAAATACGATCATGAAGTAAAACACAGTGAACATCAACCGAATGTCACTTGACAGAGAGACTCTGGAAGAGGTAAAAGCCTTTACTCACGTGGACAGTATCCTAAATAAAAAAGGAAGATATAATGTATATATGAAGGCACAAATTGGTAAAGCAAGTGATATTCCTACAGC